CCTCCACTGTTCAACCGCGTTCACATTTCGTTCCTTCTACCTAGTCTGTAATAATTCATCAATCTTGACGGTTTGAAAATTTTTCAGTTTTGATAAGAACAAGTATATCATAGAAACAGTCGAATAAAGCCAAATTGAAAAGAAGCAAGTATTCTCTAATAGTTATTGTTTTCTTCTCTAAAATTGTCTCCTTTCACCCCCTTTCCTGCTTTCTAGCAATGCCCTGTCGTCTGCTTTCGTCTTCGCTTTAAATTCTGACCTCATCCCCTCACCTCCTTTGCCCCCTCCTCTGGGCTTCTCACTCTTTCTGCAGCCTTTCTACTGCTACTTCTTGGCTCATTCTTTCTGCTGTCTTTCAGCCACACCCCTGATCTTCTGGTAGGAAAGATCTACCCCTAGCCTTCTCGGACAAGGGCAAAAAAAATCTCGGAGGGCCCAGGTGCATGTTGCGTGCGTTAAAGATTCCTCGGAGGTCTAAAATCGATAAATAAGAGTAGGCTTCGGCCACCACCCCGGTAAAAATTCAAAATTTCCTACCTACTGAAAAAGTTTAATGCGTCCCCCTCGCTCATATGACCTTATGCAGTTGCGAGCGCCGTAAAACATTTACCAAAACAAACAAACAAACAAACCACAAAAAAAAAAAAAAAAAGAACTCGGGTCTCCTGCGCAAGACAGCGAGGCGCCTTCCTACTCACCATAGACGCTGGTTTTCACAAGTAATAGATTAAGAAGAAGAAGAAAAAGACAGTAGCCTATTTATAAGCAGAGAAAAAGTACAAGGCCACCAAGGGGGCATCTCAACCCCATTAAATTGTTCAGATTCACATAACACAAAAATAAGGGCAAGGTTGACCTCATGATCCTAATTTGAGAGGCTGTTATCTCAAGGAGTTCACCAATGCACTGTCAAGTTGAGTTACGTGGTTAGGGGAAAAGGAAATAAGTGTCCTTGAAGTGTCGTTGAAGTTATTCCTCCGAACGACTGTAATCCATATCCAGATAGAACCGCATGAGTTAACTTATTAACCACTTTATTCCATCTTTCTGGAATGTAAAGGCTACTCACAACAAACAGATTTATTTATTTTAATTCTTCTTTCTTTCTCTCTTTCTTTCTTTCTTTCTTTTTTTCTTTCTTTTTCTTTCTTTCTTTCTTTCTTTTTCTTTCTCTCTTTCTTTCGAACTATTTTCATTTTCATTTTTTTTTTTTGGGAGGGGGGGGGCTGTTAAAAGCTATATATCACAAAAGGATATTAATTACAAAAAAATAGTAGGGAAATGTTACTAATCTTCACCACGTTGTTTTACACTACCACCCCTCCTCCCCTCCCCCTTCTACTCTGAGACTCTACCGCCATTTTTTTCAGGGTTAGAGAATAAATCTTTCTCCATCCAGGGTTTCATCGGGATGAGGTCAAGGCATCAGGCGTGGTTCGTCCACAGAGCACGGTCGTGCAGTGCTGCCCAATTTTTAAAAAATGTTCTGTTATGTAAAACCCCCAAAATAATAAAAGAAAAGAAGCCAGAAACAAACACTAGCCAAATATTATATAAAAAATAAGGTCCTCACTGGCGCCATAACTGTCATTTCTGTGTCTATAGCGCCGTAAAACATCTACTATGCCATGCCAAAGTCCATGCGCTTTAACTAAACGTAATAGGATATTCAACAGTGTAACTTGACCTATAAATTGCGATGACGATACTCGTAGCGAGTTTGGCAGTACATTAATATTAATAAGACGGCACATTTCAAATGTGCTCCTGCCGAATAGTGCCGAAACATAGCCCACAGAAGGCAGTCTAAAAATGAACGCTATAGGCCGTGTGCGATTCTTTGCCAATATTATGTAAGACCCGGAGCAATCCAGCGGAGTGCTCAAGTGAATTGTGATTGGTTCATTGTCTGTCTTGCCACTAATTTAAGCATAGATGTACACTATAGGTTTAACAGGGAGGTGAATGTGACCGTCCTATGAGTAGTGCCTTTGAATGGTTTGTAGTGGAGTAGTGAGAGTTATTACTTGAGTGTTCAGTTCCAATACAGGATGAACTAAATTGATGTTTAGCTAACAAACAAATTTAGTACCAGAAATTAAAGCGACAAGTAAAAAGAATGAAAATAAACGCACGAGGTCCTCCCTCATCAGCCCAAAGATCCTAAAATTATACACAGTCTCATTTACTATTTACTATGCCCTTGACTATCTTCAGCAGGCGATAGCTTTATATCATTGTGCACGTCCACTTTTTAGCCCCACGAGCCGCCCCTGCAAGGCATGAAATATTATGACGGCAGTCACACTTTTACTCTTACATGGAAACATGGACAGGCGACTTGAAAAAAATAAAGAGGGGTGGCGATAGATGTTTGATAGGAAAGAAGAAGCAAACCACACCAGAGCACCTGCCAACCACCCACAGGTTGTTTTTTTTTTGG